TGAAGCGCCCCAAGGTGGCCAGTCTCCCGTTTAAACTTTGCACTTCATTAGGTGTGCGGGGGGGTTGGAGGCGCCTTATCGCCTCTACTTGCCTGGGATTAGCTTCGATACCACGCTTAGTGATCATGAACCCCAAGAATTTTCCTGCTTCCGCCCCAAATACGCACTTCAGGGGATTGAGGCGCATGTCATGGGCGCGGAGCGCTTGAAACGTCTCACGCAAGTCCGCCAAATGATCCTTTCTCCGTTTGCTCTTCATCACCAAGTCATCCACGTATGCCTCCACATTCCGCCCAATCTGATGCTGAAAAACCTTGTTCACCATACGTTGGTATGTGGCCCCAGCATTCCTCAGTCCAAAAGACATCACCCTATAGCGAAAGTTACCGAACGGAGTTATGAACGCTGTCTTGTCCCTATCTTCCTCACACATGGGTATTTGGTGGTAGCCTGAAAACATATCCAGGAAACTGAGCGCCTCGTGGTATGCAGTCGCATCCACTAGTTGGTCGATTCTTGGCATGGGGTATGCGTCTGAGGGGCACACTCGGTTCAGGCTGGTATAATCCACACACATCCTCCATTCCCCCGACGCCTTAGGCACTAGCACTACGTTGGACAGCCAAGTGATGTATTTGGCCTCCTCCACGAACGCCGCCTCTCGCAACTTCCCTACTTTCTTTCTAAGCGTTTCCTCCTTTTCCAGCGAGATCGGGCGCCTTTTCTGCTGGATGGGGCGCACCCCTTTTTCTATGGCAAGGCGATGTTCTGCAACCTCCGCCTTCACACCGGGCATCTCCTTCGCGCTCCATGCGAACAAGTCTGCGAACTCTCTCAAAAGACCGACTAACGGCCCCAACTCTTCGCCCGTCGTGTGTGTCGAAATGCGAACGCATCTATCAGGACGCAGGTCATCCAGTGGCACATGTATCTCTTCATCCGCCGCCTCGGCCCTTGGCAAGTCTTCAGGTCGCACGCCAATATTATACATCTGGCTCCTCTTGGCGAGGCGCGCTTCCGCAGAGGCCTCACCCCTTGATATTTCGATGCCCTCCAGGGTAACAAACTTCAGGACTTGATGGCAAGAGGATGCCACCCCGTTGAAGAGCGCCAGCAAGGGGCGCCCCAAGATTGCATTGTATGGCGAGGGGCAGTCGACTATGCCGAGGGGCAGTCGACTATGCCACCCCTCCGTGGAAGGCGTTCGGCATGCTTCTTCGGGCACCTCGTTGAAGCGTATCTGGATGGCCTCGCGCACGCTGGCTGTGACAGATTTCAGGCGCCTTCCCTCCTCCAACTTCTACCTCAAGTCGATGGAGCCCGTGATGGCCTCAATGGTCAACCTCACGCGGTTCGGGTTCGCCTCCTGTTCCACGTTGAATAGGGGTGGGGGTAGGGCAGCTCCTTCCTTGGGATGGTCGTCCGCCACCCCCTGTTTTTCATCAGGCGCCTTTACTTGCGCCTCCCGTGCAACGAACGTCCTCTGCGCTCGATCATCTTTTTTCACAAAGTCGTTCAGCATGTCTCTGTCTACCAGTCCCTGTATCTCGGACTTCAGCTGATAGCATTCCGCGGTGTGGTGCCCCCGCTCCCTATGGAACTCACAATATCTGTCGAGATTTTGTTCATTCGGGCGCCCCCTCATGGGGCCGGGCCATCTCAGGTGGTAACCATTGTCCTTCGCATACTGCAACACGTTTTTCAGCGTGTCGTTTAGCTCGGTGAAATTCACCGCACTCTTCGGCACAGGCCTCTGGTTTTCCACCCTGCGCCCTGGGAATGGCACGTTGGGTGCCGCCATTGGCACACGGGCGCCGGCAGTCTGTACCCCTCTCCCTCCTCCGCCTTGTTCTTGCGTTTGTCGAACCTTCTAGCCGTAAGCGTCTCCTCTAGCATAATGACTTTCTGCACCCTCCTATCGAGGTCTTCAGTGGACGTCACGTCTCTCTTGGAAAGCGCCCGGCACAGTTCTTCACTAGTCGTGCACTCATCTAGGCAACACCCCAAGACAGGAGGCTTGATATCCTTCACCGCCATGGCTACCGACATCCATCGTTCGTAAAAATCACGAAGTGGCTCGTTTTCCCTTTGACGGACCTTGAACAAGGCGCTTATCGTGAGGGTCCTGCGCTTCCGACTAGCGAACTTCGACAAGAACAGGGAAGTAAAGTGCTCGAAACAATCGATCTGTCCCTCCTCTAGTTGGTGGTACCAGTCCAACACCACCCCTGTGAACGTGGAAGGGAACGCACAGCACATCGTGGCGTCCGAGCTGCTGTACAGCTGCATCTTCGTGAAGTAATTGTTCAAGTGGTCTTCCGGATCGGTTGTCCCATCATAGCTTGGTAACGCCGGTATGACTGAGCTCGGCGACTCGGCGAGAATGCTCCTGGCTAAGGGCTGTCGAACTCCCCAGCCTCTTCCTGCACGCCTCTGTGCCCATCCGTTGTAGTCGTCATAATCTGATTCCAAGTGTCGGGTCAGGTGCCCCATTTCTTCTATGCGCCTCACGAGGCTGGACGTTACATCCCCCTCTTCGTCCCGCTCCTTTCTCTTCGAACCAGGCGTGTGTGGGTCGCCCCCGCTCCTCTTGAGCGCCTCGACCTCCTTCTTCAAGATCTCGAGCGCGTGATCTTGGCTCTCGATGATCTGAAGCAATTCCTCTTTTGTGAGCGAAGCGCCTTCTGCTTGTGCGCTCTCTTCGATCCTCGGGCTCCCTTTCCCATCATGCTCCCCTGCCTCTCTTGTCACTTCTGTCTACAGATCTTGAGGTTCAGCTCCTCCATCCTTCTCTCCTAACCCTGCAACCTCCATACGCCTTGATGGTTATATCCCCCTATCTGGCGCGCCAATTGTTTATGCCTCGTAACCCCCTTCTTACGCCTCGTGCTCCTGTCTCTCTCGTCCGCTTGCACAGCCGTCCTCCTGCACCCACACAAGCGCCTAGCGGACCGAGTTGGTCCGTTAGCACTCCAACGCTCAAGTGAGAACCTACTTTTTAGAGAGAGAAGTGAAGGAACAGTTCTAGTAAGAGAAACAAAACTGAGTAAATAAGGTTTACCTACTCGACTATTTATACCCGGGGCGAGATCGACCGGTACACGTCGCTCTCGCCCTGTGTCAGACCCGCCATAAATGCGCCGTACACCCCTAGCCCATGCGCCTCGACCATCTGACACTTCGGTCAGAGGTTGGAGGCGCATGGCATCACCTGATCAGCTTTTCGTACACTTCCGACCGTTGGCTGCTTTTGTCTCATATGCCCTCCGCCAGGTGCCCGGTCCCACCTGTCCCACACGCTATCTCAGCCACCCAGGCCTAAGTCCGGACGCCCTTCAGCCCAAGGTTCCTGCCCCCATAGGCTTTCTCAGTCCTCTCGGTTGGGCCGAGGCCTCCGGTCGATAATAACCTGTTTTGGGCTTTTCCCTCCTGGGCCGACCCATGCTCATTAGTCATTCCCCCAATAATATATGGTCTAAATCATTTAGTGTTAATGATTCCTACTTCCTTACTTGTTTTGTTAAAATTGGCATACACTGACATAATTGTTTAACCACTCGTCGGACCATACCACTTTTCAAACTAATATATTGCATGAACCGGTTTGACAATATTGAAAAAAAAAGAAAAAAAAAAGATAAAAGAAGAATAAAAGAAGAATCCTCCAATTATATATGGAGGTTCTCCATCCGCACCCTTCTCATTCACTTTTATCTGGCTCCTGCGCATAGTTAGGAAGGGCCTCTTTGTCTTTCGCTTTTTTTTTTTTTTAATTAATGACAAATGAGGCTTTTTGGGTTGTACGAGTGTATATAAGTATATGTACATAGGTGGGCAGTTTAATCCAAAATTTTAACTCACCCAACAGCTACAAACTAAAGGGAATTTATTAAAAGAAATTGGCTTCTTCTGTATTGTTTTTTTTAACTTTAACGGAACCTAGAGTAACATCAAAGCTTATAACCTATGCCATATAAAGTAACACTAATATAAAAAGGTTCTTAACCACAACATATTTAATTTCAAATTTTCAACATTTTGAGTGATTTTAGAAGGAATAATTTTATATTTTTAATTATAAAAGCCCCTGACAATTGAACTCAAACCCTCGACTATTAAAAACATAAAACTTTTGTGAATTATTGTTAATGGAGAAAGACGCTTCGTAAAAAGAAATTTGTTCAAGAGACTGAACTATGGATCAAAATTATAGTGATTTCGTTTACAATATAATCTGTAATTATACAACATGAAGACAACATTAGTTAGACAACAATCTCTATGATTCAATTCTTTTTAACTTCAAATTCATGCATCAAATACAACAACAAAAATTCGCACCCACTAAGACATAAAGCTTTCAACCAAATAGTGTATCTCACTTTGTGTCATTTTATAGATTCAAGATTAAGCCAAGTTGTGTACAAAATTGTGAATCTTACTTAATTGTTTCCCCGATGGAGCTATGTACATTGGAACGCTTACTCAAAAACTATTTGAAGATAGTGATAGAATGAGAGGACATTCACCTCCTCATTCCCCACAAATTGAGGGAATGAAGTAACTTTCATATCAAGCTCACCAATTACAACATCACTAATCTCATAACTTATTATACAATTTGGAAGAAAAAGACGAACAAGAGCAATCTCGAAAATTTTCATGACATGGACTCGATAAATTTAACTTTTTGAAAATGGTGTTTTGCAATCTTACATATTTTACCACTAAATTTTTGCTTATAGTTGGTAGTAGGAAAAGAAGAAAGAGTATGTTAATGTTAGAGATAGTGGAATCGGTGATGGAGATAAATAACATTGTTGAGAAGAAGGAAGAGATTGTTGATCGTGGATATAAAATTTCAAGGAAGAGAGGAAAGACCAAATATTCAATAATATTTATGACTTTGACAAGGAAAATTCTACTAGCATAAAAATGATGTCTCACATTTCTGAACATTTTTCTTATAAAGTTTGGTTTTCAATAAAATGTAGGAGAAGGAGTAGACCATTGATGGTGAATAGAAAGTTTTCATTAGTGAAGATGAAGTAGCATGGAGATGATAATGTTTTTCATGGCAGGACAATCACAAGCAAGTCCAAAAGAAAATTTGCAGGAATTTCTCACAGTAAAGAGTCAACTGAAGTGCCATTGATTTTTTTTAGGAACCGGTTTCCTTACATGAGTTATGTTTTTTATTTTGATAGAAACTTTTTTTCGTGAATGATCAAGGTGTTGGAAAACTTATTATATGTTCCTTTTTATATTTTCAGTAACAAATTAATTTGAATTTCAATAACTTGGTTGAGACAATTACAACTATTATTTATATCATTGATATAATTTATCCGACCAACGGGCGGACCCAAATCTAGTAAAAAATATACGTTTCCATAAAAAATTTCTCTCTGCGACTCCATCTTCACAGACTCATCTCTATCACTCTCTCTCCTCTCATTCCCTTCTCTCGATTTAGGGCAAAACCCTCCAAACTCGCACACGTTTGACTCACCACACAAGCTTAGACGATCTCCTGTTTCCTTCGCCGATCCGCCTCTCAGGTACCGCTTCCTGACTCGCGAGCTCGATCTCCATTCGCCCTCTGTTCAATCTTCCCCACCGGCTTCTTCGTTCTTTCTGAGTTCGATCATGGAGGGAGCTACTGCGTGGATTGAAATGAATACATTTAGCTATCGTCTAGGTTTTTTTGCGGAGAGGATCGCTTTTTTTGTTGTTGGACGTGCTTTTCTTCAACATCTTGCTTGGGCAAAAAGTGCAATTATTGACTGAATTTGATGGCCACTAGACTGAGTATTGCTGGTGGCTGTTTGTTTAACTCCATTTTTTGTTCGGTTGTTGAGATAATGAGGATCGGAAATAAGGAGATACGGTGACAGTTGAGCGGTTTCCTTTCGTTACTCAATAGATACTCACCTGCTACTGTATTGATTGCGTAAGCGGAAGTGTCGAATTCGTATGGTCGTTCTGTTCCAGTGGAGTTTACTGAAAGTGTGGAGGCAATAGAAATCTTCGTTCATCGACTTGCAGTTGTTTCTTACATGGTTTAGTCAGGTTCAAACGTGCAGTTTAGATGGTTTTGGCCCTCCAACTTGTTTGTTGTCCGTGGAAGGAGGCTTAGATTGCCTAACTTGGTGGTTCAGATTTTTTTGCTTAATTGGAAATCGGGAGTCTCGTTCAATGTTAGTCTGCTTTTCAGTTATTCATGGATTTCCTCAGTGTTTTTTGTTCTTGCCTTGTTTGCTTGATCTTTTCCAAACTAGTATCTTGTCCTGTTAGATCATTTGATGCAATTTTGGTTGCCATGATATCTGTGTTATTTGGTGCATTCTAGGCTGATGTCATCTATTCATCGTACAATGCCGATGCTTGCCTTTTGCTCAGCGAGGCTGTATCATTAGCATTTAGAACTCATCTCAATCTACTTTGCGTTATGTTCAGTGGACTGTACCTTATTTTGCTTATGTTATGTCCTTTACTTTTCTCAGCATGGTTATTTTCTCACAACTGTCTTTTTTCGTTTCAGGCCAGAAGTTGGAAGCTTTTTGATAGTCTTGTTGTTGTTCTTGCTTCAACGCAAGGAAGGGCTGCTCTTTACCAAGGAATGATTTTTCACATGACCTGTTGACATATATCCAATGTCGGGTCTACTTAATGTATTGACATCTTTCTTTATCAATTTTCCAAGCTTTTGCGGTCTTCTATTTGTAAAGCTTTAAGCTAGTCATTGCTTGCAACTGTTCTGCAACTGTTAATTTGTTTGTCCTTTTGGTCACGGTTCTCTCTTTCAGTGATTCTAGTGTTGTAGGTTATGTGAATGCATTCCTTCTGCATGGTAGAGCAGTAATGCTAGTGGCATCAGCCATGCAATAGTACGAACTACAGGCTCATTTACTTTGGAGTAGCTATGCAAGTTCAACAGTTTGGTTCTGATTTGAACATAAAATATTTGCACCAGTAATATAGCACTTTTCTAACCTGACCAATGTTTTGATTCATTGTTGCTTCTGAGTTGTACTAGTCGTTGTCTGCAATGCAATGTTATTCGCCTTTGCTTCTGCCTTGCTGTATTTTTTCGGTCGTTCAATGTCGTGATGGAGTTTTGGATTTCCACTAGTAGTTGGAAACAGTTATACATGCTTTGGTGCCCTTGTGTTGCAGTCTTCTCTGAATGGTTCAGCCTCAAATATTCCTGATAGCAGTGGGAGGCCTTTCACTACATCGTTCTCTGGCCAGTCTGGTGCAGGATCTCCTGTGTTTCATCACTCTGGTGGGTATATTTGGCTATATGTTTGGCCAATGTCCTGAATGTTGGGCTAATCTGATTTCTTGTTTTCAGGAACTATGCAGGGACTTCACAACCTCCATGGGAGCTTTAATGTCCCCAACATGCCGGGCACTCTATCATCAAGAAACTCTACAATGAACAACGTACCATCTGGTGCTGTTCAACAACCCACAGGTAGCCTTTCTAGTGGACGGTTTGCTTCAAATAATCTTCCGGTGGCCCTATCGCAGGTACTGATATAGTTTTGGGTCGAAGCAATATGAGTCATATTCTTGCTTGATTGAAATACTGTTTTAAGTTTTAGTATACTAAATGATATTTGAGTGTCTTTACTCTGCAGTTATCTCATGCAACTTCACAGGGACATTCTGGAGTAACCAATAGAGGAGGTATAAGTGTTGTAGGAAACCCTGGATATAGTAGTAACACAAATGGAGTTGGTGGTTCTATTCCTGGGATTCTCCCTACATCTGCTGCCATTGGTAACCGGAATGCTGTTCCAGGATTGGGAGTGTCCCCAATTTTGGGAAATGCAGGTCCTAGGATTACAAGTTCGATGGGTAACATGGTTGGAGGGGGCAACATTGGGCGGAGCATAAACCCGGGCGGAGGATTATCCGTGCCCGGGCTTGCGTCTCGTTTAAACTTAAGTGCAAATAGTGGATCTGGAAGTTTAAGTGTGCAGGGACAAAATCGACTCATGGGCAGTGTTCTACCACAAGGTACTACTTGGATCACTGGTCTACTGTCAGGTCCCTCTCATTTTTGGTGCTCATGTCTAAGATTTTATGGAGTTGCAATCCTTGAATTGCTTGTCCCATCAGATGGTTTCTTCTTTCATTATTGTTGTTCCCATTTCTTTATCAATGTATTGGGTGAAAGTGTCGGTGTCATTTTTGCCTCTCATCTAATAGAGCCCAGTTATACTTTGCTAGCTTATATAATCCTTTTCTTTTCTTGATCTTATTTTTCTTTTATGCAGGATCTCCTCAAGTGATGTCCATGTTAGGAAACTCCTATCCTAGTGGCGGCGGACCACTTTCGCAAAATCATGTCCAAGCAGTTAACAACCTAAGCTCTATGGGAATGTTGGGTGATGTAAACTCCAATGACAGCTCGCCTTTTGATATAAACAATGATTTCCCTCAATTGACAAGTCGACCCAACTCTGCAGGGGGGGCTCAAGGACAACTGGGTAAGGAAAAATGTGATCTTCCATTGGGATTTTGTCTCCCTCTAGTTGCTTAACCCCCTTGGAATAGAAGATGACTTTTGAAGCACATTATTCCAGGTTCTCTGCGAAAGCAAGGTCTTGGAGTAAGTCCCATCGTTCAGCAAAACCAAGAGTTTAGCATACAGAATGAAGATTTCCCAGCATTACCTGGATTTAAAGGTTTTGGCCATATTCCCCCCGAGAATAACCTGCATAAACGATGTCTGCAATATGGCAATCTCTGCTTGTAGTAAATCTTCTAGGGAATATTATTGTGTGTACCTCTCAGTGGTATTTGTATACACGGTCTGGTTAACTGCTGAAATACTCTTGGTTTGGAGTTCATCAAATAAAAAGGATACCGATATTGCATTATTTAATAATTGACATTTTTATGCCATTGTTTGAAGTAATGAAATGCTCCCTTGTGCAACCTATTCGTAATGTCTCTGCAACCTTGTGGCTTCTTACCATAATTGCTAGATTTTGTTCAGGTGGAAATGCCGATTATGGGATGGATATGCACCAGAAAGAACAATTGCATGACAGCACAATGTCAATGATGCAGTCTCAGCACTTTTCCGTGAGTTTGTGAGAATTTGCCATGGTAGTTTCTTTAATCTGCTGCATCTGATACTTACGCTACCTTGCAGATGGGGAGATCCTCTGGGTTCAATATAGGGGGGACATACTCTTCATATCGTCCACAGCAACAGCAGCAACATGCCCCAGCTGCCAGTAGCGGTGGTGTCTCCTTCCCGTCTGTGAACAATCAAGATCTTCTTCATGGTTCAGATATATTTCCATCTTCACATTCAAACTATCACTCACAGGTATGTTGTGCGGAAGGGTTCTGCTGTGTTTGTGACTAGTTGATTGAATAAACTGTTCAAATAAAGTTGTTTCTTAAAATTATGGGTTCAGCATCTAGTATGGACTTGTGTCCTGTCAATGTTGTGCTCCTCAGATGTTTGCCGTGACCGATATATTTTCATGTTTCCTTCAGAACAATGGCCCACCTGGAATTGGGTTGAAACCTCTAAGTTCTGGGAATTCAGTATCTGGTATCGGATCATACGATCTTATGCAGCAGTATCATAATCACCAAAGCCAGTCGCAGTTTAGACTGCAGCAAATGTCCGCAGTGAATCAGTCCTTCAGGGATCAAGGAATGAAATCCATGCAAACACAGCCAGTTGCTGAAAAGTTTGGATTACTTGGGTTGTTAAGTGTTATACGGATGAGTAATCCTGATCTGACGTCTTTGGCACTTGGAATTGACTTGACGACTCTGGGATTGAATCTCAATTCAACAGAAAATCTTCACAAAACATTTGGCTCTCCATGGTCTGATGAGCCAGCCAAGGGTGATCCTGAGTTCAGCGTGCCTCAATGTTATCATGCCAAACAACCTCCTGTTTTACATGTAAGCTGATATGGCCCTTTGTTTATAACCTTTCCCCTTGCTTCTCTTCCTATTTCTTAATAACGTGGCCATCTGTTTTTCTTATTATTTTAATCCTGGTGCTATTCTGGTGTGCTTTTGGTGGTGTTTTCAGCAAGGATACTTTTCAAAGTTCACGGTTGAAACGTTGTTTTACATATTCTACAGGTGAATTGTCTACTTTCTGACTCTTCTTTTTCTAACTTTCCCAACATTCTTGTTCTGACTGCCTTTTATGTATTCCTTGTTTCGTTTCAGCATGCCGAAAGATGAAGCTCAACTATATGCTGCCAATGAACTGTAAGAAAACAATTGCATCATTTCAACTTCCCTTTTCGCATTCTTACTTGAGTTCCGTTGTCTGTCGCAGTACTGAACTTCTGTTTGGGCATTGCCGTATTGGTACTTATCAGTGCATTTTTGTTTCATGCAATTCCGGATGTTTATTGTGATGGTTGAACCTGATATTAGTCCGACACATCCTGCATTCCTCTATTTGTAGCGTCAGAGGAAATTCATTAATTGCATAAAAACAGCATACTAATCAGGTCCGGTGGTGGTTACATTCTCTCATCGTGATAAATTTTCTTTATATTTGGCAGGTACAACAGAGGCTGGATCTACCACAAAGAGCAACGGTTATGGTTAATAAGAGTACCGAACGTCGAGCCACTGGTTAAGACGCCCACCTACGAGAGGGGCTCTTATCACTGTTTTGACCCCAACACATTTGAAATAATCCGCAAGGTTTGGACCCACTTTCCCTGCTGCAACATTTGCTGTAAATGCCCTTCGCTTCTATTGGACGATGCTATCGATGGCTGATTTTGTGTTAACTTTGGATGCAGGATAATTTTGTATTGAATTACGATTCAGTGGAGAAGAGACCAGGTCTGCCTCAACACTAACAGCAGGTCATTTCTTTTCTAGTTGTAGATTGTAAAGCTCAGTCAGTCATGGGTCTCCAGCTTGACATTCATTCGGAGGCACGGCAGTGGTCGGCTTCAGTTTTAATGTTGCTTGAATTTGGCAGTAACTTGTACTTTGTCAATCTTTGCTCTTAGTAGCTCGATCAGCTCAGTTAGTTGCGGTAAATATTTCCGATGACATTTTAATCCGTTTTGATGATAAGAACGCTTGATCCCTTGAGCCTCATTGTCATAAAATCGTGGTACGCGCTCCCGATGTTGCTAGAGAACTACTGGATTAGGCAGGCTATCATTGGTGGTTCCTCGATCCATCGCTGTTGACGGTAGGACGTACTCCCCAATGGACAATGGTCAGATGCTGCTTGTGGTAAGTAGTTTCCAACAAATGCCACCCTGCTTCTAAGATAAGTAGGACAGGTATGGATTCCGTAGGCTGGATGGAGTTGCGTTTTGCCTTATGCTTTCGTACATAGGCACGGTGTTAATAATAGCCTGTGTGCTCTTCGTCCTGATTGTAGTGATTAATGCCTCGCTGCAAACCAGTTCCTAAAATACCGTTTTGCTCATAAGTAGTAGTAAAGACACTCAATGTTGAGACATCTCTTGAGCTAAAAAGAAGACGGTTAACATGGTGAGCTCAACAAGTTACTTGAGCTCAACAAGTCACTTGATCAAGTTGATTTGTGAGGCTTGCAACCTAAATAAGACATAGTTCAAGCTTTTTATGGCATGAAATTTGAACCAATTTTTCTCGAGTTGAATGTTGAGCTGCTGCGACCATTTAATCTCATTGACAACCCTAGTTCCGTTCGTGAACATCTTAGCGCAGTAGCAACCCTATTGGTAAGACCAACACCCATTGAGAAATTGCTAGTGGAATTAGCAACATCTGAACCCAAAGTTTCTAATACAAAAAGATTCTATGTAAATCGCCCTTCTTTTTCACATATCGCACATCTCATGTGTAGTATAAACCAAAGCCAAGTACAATTGTTTGGCATCTGTCCATCTGGATGCTTTTTCGACCAAAAATAGCTAGACAGTCGGTCCATCAACGGCTAGGCCTCCCCAGAAAATAACGACACAACAACACAACCTAAAGACTTGTCAAATCCAATTCTTCAGCCAACCCCCAGTTGAAAATGCAAAGATGTGTGCTATGCCTATTGGATCAGAGAACCGCCATGGATAACTCCACAGGATTCTTCAACTTCTAAATCCCTATACGACTTTGACAAACAGTCTAACTTATGATTGTGCCTGTGGCAATTTGGGACCCAGAACAAGGCCCTTCAGTGCAGGCATTAGGTTCTCCAAAAGCTCCCTTTTGCTCAAAATTCTATCGGATGTACAGTCTTCTTCCTGTATCACAAATGGAAGAAAAGAATATCATCGAATTAGTGTCATGGTGCATCACGAGACAAAGAACGTAACTATCCGAGTGATACGACAACAAAGACGATGGCCGATATCCTTCTTATGAACCAACTATGTATTGGCAATTTTGTCCTTTAGCAAATGTAGTTCTAGTCTAGACGAATGGATACAAATATGCTCACTTACATCACCAGTTGCTGCCGACGACAGAGACAAAAGTGTCACTGTTGCAGATTGGTAATCTGTCAGTATCTTGTATGGTGCATCACCCAGTTTATCCTGACCAAAGAATATACAAGAAATTAGGTTCAACAAAATTACAGGACAAGAAAATGACACAGCATATATCACTGTTCAATGATTCTGAAACTGGGTTTTGTAACACGTTGATTAGTCACATTGGAAAATAGATTACATACTCACCCTCATAAAAAAAAAAAAAGATTACATACCTTCAACCGAGAAACTGCAATAGAAATGGCTCTTCCAGGAGCCTGTAGAGCTTTGTTGTGAATCTGGAGACAAGAAAACTAATGTTTCATATTTGCAGTTTGCAAAGCAGGAGAATTCCAAAGTGAATAATTAGTTAAAATAAACACCTGGATGTAAAGAAGGGAAACAACTTTAGGCAGAAGAGCAACTGGATCAGTTTCCACAGAAACTTGAGCTGTCAGATCCTGAAAAATAAGGAAGATACATGCACAAAGAGACTTAAAACTGTTTCCGAGTCTGAAGCATAATATATTTACTGATAAAAACAATTCGACAAAAATTTATGCTGATTTTAATTCTCAATTAAACGAATTTAGACATGGACACACACGCAAGACAAACAAAGCTAGCTAGCTGAAGGCAAGACGTCTATGTAGAGCTTTAGTATATATAAAACAAGCAACCAAACTTCAAGCAGAGTTGATTGAAGGAAGTTTGACTTCTGTGTATGGGAAACACCGCCTTTGACACAAATGAAAATCATTATTGCACCTTTTGAACTGTGTGGGGATATTGTATAATAGTGAACCCTAAACACTAATGAGGGCATACCTTGCGATATGCGTGCAAAATAGTTCTCTCCAATTTCTTGTCAAGCTGTCTCAAGTATAAGCCACTGAGAGATAGAAATATAAATGCTATGGTTAATAAGAAAGCAGTGAGTCAGTGACCCCATAAACAGAGGGGAAATGAAAATGAAGCTTGTCTAGATAACCCAAATTAAATGATAAAAAGAAAATACCTCTCTTCTGCAGTCTCCCGCAGTGAAGTTAAAAATCCTTCCACGTTCTGATACATGAAAATTTAAGTTAATATTGCACCAAAATACGTTATGATCATATTGCAGTTCAAATTATCTAACAGGTGGGGATCACATCATTGTCATATCCTGGATTATAATGTAGGGGAAATGATGAGGCAAACTGCGGGTTCAGATTAAAAATTCAAGATAACTTAACCATTGTTTTATGGATGGGGGTGTGGACCTAGGAACAGTTTCATATCTGTAGCCAGAAACTCACATAATATTCTAAGAAGTCTTGTCTCAAAAGTCATAATATGTCACGGTTAACCATACCAACAAAAGCTAGATTAGTCTATAGCATACTTGCAGTTTAAGTTATAGGTTAATCATCAAGCTAAGAGAATATGGTTGGGTTGAGCTTCTGATGATCAAGAAAATGGTTCTGTGAACAGCTGTTAAGCAAGAAACATATACAGAAAGGAATCCATAAGACCACGACTGTTTCAAGCAACTGGAATGCAGGTCCCCTAGGCATGGCCCCGTTAGATATGATATTTGAGTCCAAATTCAAGAAAATTAATGGCAGTACACAAGGAATACCCAAAACGAAACTCAAAATATGCATGATTATGCTTTCAGTACCAAGCACATACCTTCCCTTCTAGAGCTTCTACAAGTGCTTGAGCCTTCCTTGATAGGGATCCTGGAAAACTTTTAGCCTGCATAAGAAGTAGGACCACCATGAGAAACAAACCATTATCCTGCATGAAACTTCTGATCAATGTCAATATGCTTAAAATCAGAGCAGAAGCTTGTACAAGAGCTGTTCTTTCTGCAGAACTCAATGTTATGGCTTCTGAAGATTCTTCAACTGAGACTCCATTCTTCAATTGGTTGTGAACATCCTAAATCAGCATTCAGCATAGACTCAAATCATCAATTGCTTCAACATTAAAGCTTGTATAAAGCACATCATGGAAGACAAAATAGCAACAAGCAATAATACCAAGTTATGCAGGAGAAGATCTGTCATTGTTGCACCCATTGTTCTTAACAGATGCTTATGCAGAATTACCTGTCATACAAAGTACACCCCTGATTTGCCATAATCTCCACAACCTTTTGTAACGTGAACGAATATAACCAATAAGAACGTTAAAAAATCCAATAAGAACATGAAGTTAATGCTTCAAAACTCACTGAAGTGGATTGGTCATCATCAAATAAGTCTAGAGCTTTTTCATACAGCTGCGTATTTAAGAAAGACTGCAATGCACAATGGCAGAAGTAGTCAGCTTGTAACATGATAACATATGAAAAGCAAATACCTGACAAAAAAGCACCAGAATGCTGAATAATATACATACTATGTAGGAGAGGGGAATCTCAAACTAACCTCTTCGAGTTTCTTTTGCAAATTATTAAGCAACTGTTTAATTTTATCGGCATTTTCTGTAAACAATGCCTTTCTTCTCTCCTTCAAAGAGCTCATCAACATCGGTCTCATATGGTTAGCAATTGGTTTCAATACTGTCTGTGGATCTTCTATACCTGGGAATTGTTAAAACATGGGCATGAGGTTTATGCTCGACATATTGAATGGCCACAATGAAGAAGATACAAGTGACAAGACCTTGTTCTTCAAGATCAGGAATCAAGGCCAGTATCTTCTCAATAATCCATTCTTCTGAAGGATAGATAATATTCTCCTCTTGCTTTTTGGCTGAATCTTTCTTAGCAGCAGATTTTGAATCGGATACTTGACCAGATGCACCACCCTTGCCTTTCCTTTGGCTTTTCTTTCCCTTTATGGGAACATAATCATCATCTGGAATGGTTTCTTCTGCTTTCGGACCAGCAGATTTGCCCTTTTTCTTTTTTCTATCATTAACAGTTTCATTTGAATCGGTTGATCTTCCAGATGCTTTAGCTTCCTTGATTGGCTCATCTGTTACGATAGCACCAGAAGAACCGGAGAAGGTAAATGTCTCTGTTTCTTTCTCAACACGATCGTAGAGATCCTGATCATGTAAAGAAAAGACTGCAGGCATCAGATTCACCATTACAGACCAAATATCTGACCAGAAGCTCCAAGAGTAAGACTATACAAATTTAAATCCTATTTAAATGCCCATTAAAATTTTGAAGTAGGCTGGATTTACTGTAAAGTATCAAATTAAACATGAGCAAGACCTCTTGGTACGGTAGAGAGTACAAACAAGCAGCTCAATCCTGAATAACCTACCTTGAGAAAAGCATTGCTGAAAACAAATGAATCTCCCAAGACTAGCCCTTTGTTATCCTGAAGAGAAAGGAAGCACAAAACAGTGACTACTTAATGGAACCAGTTAAGGTTACGAGAACAATTGGCGCGACCATGTTACCTTCAACGCTGACTGAAAAGAAGGACAAAGTGACAAAATCTTTGATGCATCTTGGGACCCAAACGATGTAGGTAATACAGAAAGAGAATCAATCCTGCAATTATCAAATCAATCACAGCATAAGACAATTTAAATGGGAATCAGATGTGGCTAAACTTAAGGGAAAGAAAAGGGAAATAATATTTTAAAACTCATCGATCCAAGAGAAGCAACTTTCGATGCTTAACTACAATGCAAAATATGGAAGTCTAAAACCAAGTAGAAATTCTTGGTTTTGTGTTTCCAGATTGAAACCTACTGTACAATCCTAGGTCATGGGATCATTTTAAAATCCTCAAAAGAGTTAGTAGCACCTCCAGAGAAAAGATTGAATGAAATTTGAAATAGTGAAGAAAATTTACTGGTAAAATTGACTGAATCGAAACATTTTGGTTGAGATAAATATGCAGAACAGACAAAAGAATTCCAAAAAAGGATAATAGAATGATACAAGTACAACTCTTACCAACTACCATGTTCAACAGCGTCCTCAATAGAAGTATCTAACATCTCAATCATGGATGGGTGCACAAATACAGTATCTAAAGGTATGCCATCAGGATATCTGGACTAATTGAACAGAAAACAAAAACTTGATCAGAAAAAACCATTGAATGTATAATGATCTTTCAACCTTAAAGACAACTAAACTGAATCTCAATGGAAAAAACACAAACTCAAGCAACTTATTAGATACCTGTAAAAACTGCAGAGCCTGTGCAATACCAAGCTTTTGCATAGCATCATAGCTAACAAAAGAATTCTGTAACAAAGAGCAAAACAATCAGAAATCACAAACATTGCAGCTCCTTCAGAAAATAATGAAAAATGCTAGGGGTCAATGAACTCCTCATCGAAATTGCGCCTATAAAATGGGCAAGACAAGCACATGATTCAATGTGCAGATAAATTGATAAAAAGAGAGATAAAACAAGGCCAAAATATATACAAACGAAGAAAGGGTAGGATATGGACCTGTGAGAACATTGAATCTACACATTCCTTTTGAGCATTGGCAAACACCTGTGGCACAATGAAAACAGAAAATAAAATAACATGCTATAGAATGGATGCCATGGACACAGGAACTGGAAGCACCAAAAGGACAATAGCCCATCCATCACTCTTGTTGACATTTAATGATCAAACTATATTACTATACATATTACTCATAGAGGAAGATTAGTAGCTGACATCTGATGGCTCCGACTACCAAAAACCAACACCAGTGTCATATTTAGACATAAATCCACAAAAAAACAAGCAAAGAAAGGAATGGGTATGATAGATGGCATGGAAACTGAATAGATCATTCATGTTTTTGGCAGGTTCTAATTGCACCTCAGTTTTGTAATGTAAGTCTAGATAAATACAATAAGCATGTCCATGAATAAAGAATCACCTAAGATGCACAAATAGTTCCTTTAGCATAGAGCTGCACTTATAACTGAATATAAGACTAACAATATTTTTTAACTTGACTGAAAATTCACCATCACAAGTCAAGCTTATGGAAGTTCCTTTACTTTAGACCCCATTCACAAGTTGAGATTCTAACAAATCATTTGGGATATGGAAATACAGACATTAGAACACCTGCACATCAACCAAAATCAATTTGTAGTGGTATTACTCGAGGTTTCAACATAAGCAGTACAACATACAGTTGGTGTCCAGTGAACTCCAGCGCGAAGTGATCCAAGGACCTCTCCTTCCTTCAGCAGGGTATTGAACATGGATTGGAAAAATGAACTTTCTATGGCCACACCACTTGCTCCATCCATTTCATGCAGCAGCAACTGTAGATTGCTCCAAAGTAAGGACAAGTTGGTTGGCACGGTGATAGCTCTGGCAGCACCACGAACCATGGCACTAACTCTAGCAACATAAGCTGGCGTATATAATTGCCCACCTTCAAGTCTACCTTTCACCTATATGCCAAAATTATTCATGAAATTGTTTGTGTATATACCCCCACAGCCGGAACAGTGAAGGATTGAAGGAAGGGCCACAAAAAAACATTTAAACACTAACTTACCAAAGTTCCAAGGCGGGCTTCCACCATAGATGCTACAAATTCAGAACCAACATTTAACTGTGCAGCAAGTTCTGCCAAAGCTATTTGGCTGCATTCTTGAAGCCTCTCATTGATCTCTTCAGCAACATTGTCCCAATAACTTTGAGATATAATTTCTCCTTGAAGTAACATAAGCTGGGGATCATCGGAAATGACTTGCTGAGCTTGTTTCTCAACATGGTAGAGATCAACACCAATAACATCCGAAAGGTCTATCAACGACACACGCCCTGATTTGCCTACTTCGGCCACGATTTCCCGCCGCAGTTGCTCCTATCCAATGCATTCACATTTATCAAATCGATTCACAATTAAGAACATTCGACCCAAAACTAGAACAGCAAAATGTCCCGCGTCAAGTGAGTCATACAACGGGCACTCTCGCATCATAAAATTGGGGAAAATCAAACGTTCCGACACACTATTCTGGGACAGTGATCAGTAAGTTGCTCATATACTGCCTGACTGAATGCACCTAACTCTTTGATAGCCACTCTTACACTTTGACTACGACCACTGAAATTGACATGCATTATTCGTGAGGCAAAAATTAGGTATAACAGCTCAATTTCGAACTAGAAATTTTCCGTTGAGGCAAAAGGCGGGCGCTGAAGAAGCGGGAGGGATTGAGATAGGAGAGTCAGAAAATATGTACATACAGGGGTGATGTACTCCTTGCCGGAGACGGTGTGGAGAAGGTCGAAATCGATGATGTGAAGCTCTTGAAGCTTTTGCACCAATTCCACTACGTTTCTGTCGGATAACCGGATGCTCGATTTCGCCTGCTGGGCGAACTCGAACTGGCGCTGTAATTCGAGCAGTTCCGCGTCCATTTCCTGTCTCTCCTTTGCTTTTCCGATCAGTAAGCAAAGCGGCGGCGAACGGAGACGGTTCTTTTTATCTTCTTCTCAATCGCCAGTCAGTCAGACAGTTCGGCTGTTTCCGATCGGAACTACTGTCACTGGTTAGACGATGATGACTGAGTCGATGGCCCCCGATCTCTGTTTAGTGTTTAGCGTTTCCGTAGTCGTTTGTTCTTCTTGTATTTTTTAATTTTAAATAAATTTAGCTTATTTTCCGCTGACGAGTGACGATCTATAATCGCGGGCCAATGCTACTCTGCCGCTATAAAAAGTGTAGTGGCCACGTGGAGCTGATGTGGCACTGGTACGGTTTAATACACTGGTCCAAATTCGATGGCCCGAACCCTTCATCCATCCAATCAAACGGTCCTTTCTTCCGTCTTCTCTTCTGTGTTAATTCTTTTTTGTTTTTTCAGTAATTCGTTTTTCATTTGAATTTTCTCCTGAATAGTTTCACCTAAAACAACACAAATGAAACCCCGACCAAGCACCATCTTCCTCCGTCTCGCACTCCGACGACTTCTCCATCCCTAATACGATCTCTAGTCTCTTCCGTCAGCCTCCATTGAATTCCCTCATTGTCTTCCGCAATTCCCTGAGATATTAGGGGCTATTTTGTGCTCATACAAATAAGCGGAGGGGAAGAACCACTTACATCTTCTTTGACAATGGGTTAGATGAAGGTAGGGCGTTGCCTATGGCGGCAACCACGCCTTGAATTGAATGGTTGGCAGCGGTTGTAGGTAATTTGCTTCTTAATTTGATCAGTTTTTTCCGTCGGCAGAGGGTCACGTATCTTTAGGATTGTTTGAGATTTTCCCTTTATTTATCTGCTATGTTCCTGGGGTAATTTTTGGTGCGCAGTTGAAGAGAGGAATGGAGGAGGGAGGGTTTGAAATCCAAAACTTTCTATGTGATTTTTCAGGATAGTGATGGTGTGGTCCATCTAACTCCCTTGTGTGTTAGAAAGTAGAGAAATCCGTATCAGAAAGATTGAAGTAGTTCTTTTTAGGTAAGGATTATAGCTTCTTATCCTTCTTCTAGTCACAATCTGGACACTATAAGTATAATTCACTCTCTAGCAATCTCAGATTTGTTTTATGTAACAAGTCATTTGCTCCCTTTGTGACACATAACAAGATGTACGTTCTTTGTACCTTTTGTTGGAGCAGTGGTGAAATTTTAAATATCTGCATGCATATCTATTTTCTTGACTTCTCATTAGAGGTAATAGGTTCAACAACACTGCATCAAATGTGGAGTTTGCATGGCGAAGTACTTTTGCTCTGAATGCAAGTTCTTTGATGATGATGATGTAAAGCCTACTCGGTCCTTGAAAATACTCTTTACATTTTGTTTTAGCCTTGTTTGTAACTCATTAGTGCAACTTGATCATTTTTCCGCAGGTCTCAAAGCGGCAATTAATGTGGCATGTGCAGGTTACTGCTTATACCTCTACCATCTATTGCCTTTGATGGTGAAAATGTTAGTTTTCCTTTTCTTTACTCATGGTGTGTTTGTTTGTAATTTTTATGCTGCAAAACTGGTCAGGAGGAGAACTTTTTCCATTGACAAACGCAGTAAGATTCTTGAAGTGAAGGAAATATAGGAATTGAACATATGGGATTATGGTTTTTTGATTGGTCATGTTTTTGGTTTTGCATGTTTAGGATGATGCTATTCAATGTTATTGAAGGATTCAATGGCATTAAGGTTCGACACTTGCGTGTGTACTTGCTGTATTGCTATCAAGCATTTTTTGTTGTTGTTGAAAGATATAGGTTGCCAGTTTGTGTACTACAATTCAATACCAATTGGTGTTCACTTGTCGTTTACTTTGCAGATGATGTCTAATTCAGATTTGATGAAACTGCCATATGATTACAGCATGAAGTCCGAGGAAGATGATACTGCAGTCAAAGTATACACATCCTGAAATAGCTATATGACCATTTGAAAGTCAATGGATTCATCTCAATATGGGGTCGGTAGTGCTGCCACGAGAAGAGAAACCTACTTTTTACGTTGTATGCATAATGAGACTCATAGAAGATGAGTACCATTTATGGATTCCCTGGAGAATCTGAAGGTGTAGAGTACTGTATGTTCTTATTGTAATTGTTCTAATTTTTGTTGAATTTGCTTCGGATTAAGTTTCCACGATTCCAATAGGGAGAGGGTTGAGCAACGGGGACGGCGCAGAGGGTGGCGATTGCCTTTTTCTTTGCCTTCAGATGGTCTGATACAGTGGCGGCAGAGCAGTATGATGAAGCCAACGTCCGGTCAGAACGAGGGATTATTCGTATTTGTTCTGCATAATATAAAAGGAATATAGGGAAGCTATTTAGTGGAGGGGATTCGAGAGTGAATTGACGGCAAAAAGACGGAACCCTTTATTGTTATCACAGTTCACTCGTAGGCAGAATAACCCGCCCGCGGAATGCCCTAAGGGGCAGGATCTCGCTCATAACTCGCCACCCGAGGCAGAGCGAATCTAAAATACAAACGCATCCTGGGACATGGGTTATTCATAGAACGCCACCCCGTAGGCAGAATAACCTGCCCGCGGAATGCCCTAAGGGGCATGATCTCGCTCATAAAATGCCACCCAGAGGCAGAGCGAGTCCCAAATACAAACGCATCCTGGGACATGAGTTATTCATAACACGCCATCCGTAGGCAGAATAACTCGCCCGCGGAATGCCCTAAGGGGCATGATCTTGCTCATAACACGCCACCTGAGGCAGAGCGAATCTAAAACACAAACGCATCCCGGGACATGGGTTTTTCATAACACGCCACTTCGTAGGCAGAATAACCCGCCCGCAGAATGCTCTTAGGAGTAGGATCTCGCTCATAACACGCCACCCTGAGGTAGAGCGAATCCAGAATAAAAACGCATCCCGTGACGGGTTATTCATAACACCACTCGGGACAGGACGCCTCCGTAATACTACCACATAGTGGGATGGTCCCAACGTATCGCCTTAGGGAAAGTTCGATTTAACCCATTAGGAATAGCTTATAAAAAATACGGGAGCAAGTGAGAGAAATTTAATGGCGCGCGCATAATATACGGGTATCAACAGAGAAGTACTTATAAAAAATAATAAACAGCTGGAAAGCGGATATTGTCAACAGCAAAAAAGAGAAAAACATAAGTTACAAGCAGTGGTTCATAGTTGAGGACACAATCGGCTTCAAAACAAGGAAGAGCATGATATCTTAAACTTCGCCTCCGCCCTGCGAAGTAGCCTCATCACCCCCAGCAGCAGCAACTAGAGCGTTGTCGCAGTTGACATCGCTCTCAAAGGAACCACAGGCGATGACCGCATCCCATACAACATACGTGTCCCATTCAAGCTCGGGCCGCTCACGACGCAACAGGTGACGAATTGAAGCCACTATATCAGCTATCACTTTGGAACGCATGACATAGTCGATCTGACGGAAGGCGGGAGATAGCAAGTAGGTGGCAATCGCAGACTTAGCCACAACGTCAACTTCAGTCTTGTGCCTCAAAGAGCACTCCTCTTTCTCTTTCTCCAGCTCTTCCACACGCCCATGCGAACGGGACACGTCAGCCTCCAGAATGTCCTTATCAGCCATTAAACTCTTGACCTTCTAGATTCCCCAAGATAGCTCAGCTCGTAGGTCTTTAATGGCGTTAGCATGCTCTTTCTCCAACTCGACCTTCGCCTCCGCCCGAAAGGTTGCACGCCCCTTGGTTGACTCTGCTTCCAGCTCCCCTATCCGCTTGCGCAGCTTCTCCGCCTCAACTCCACTTCGCAAGTGGGCCATATGAAGCTTCTCATTGGTCATTCCAATATGAGATAAACCAACTCCAGCCTACTAAACCAACAAGCTGTCAGCTAATGCGTCAAACATTACACGCATACTGATAGGGATGGCAATGGGGCGGGTTTGGGACGGGTTTTCCTAAACCATCCCCATCCCCGCTTTCAAATATCTATACCCATACCCGCCCCATACCCATGCGGGGAAGGTTTTGCAAACCCATCCCCATCCCCATGGGTTTCGGGTACCCATGGGTAATACCCGCCCTGTACATCCAACATTATAATACAAAATATTTTACATGTATAGTTTCAATTATAACATTAAACGCACCTACTATATCATGAAGTTTACAAAGAGACAATCATTTTTAATACGGTTCAAAGCATCTTATCCTAAAGCATCCATTAATCCATATCAGAGTAGAGTACAATGTCATTCAAATCATTATTCTCTACTGTGATACATCTATTAAGTAATAATTAACTAACATAATCTTGTTAACAAGGGAAAAAAGTGAAAGAGTAAAGGGAAAATTGAGACAAATAAATTAGATTTTGATTTGGGTGGTCACTTAATTGCATTTCTACTATATATTTTTATTGAGTTATACTCACTATTATTGATAGGTTACAAATCGATTCACATATTTTTCATATGTGAAGAAATATTTTTGGTGGGGCGGGTATGGGTATGGGGCGAGGGAGGCTAAAACCATACCCGCCCCATACCCATCAAACTTTTTGTGGGTTTTACCCATACCCGCCCCTTACCCGGTCAATGCGGGGATTCCCCGCGTTGACTGGGTCGGGGGCGGTCGGATATCCGTGGGCATGGGTTTGATTGCCATCGCTACATACTGATATGATTAGCAAAAAACACTTACAACCAGAAGGAAACGTGCGGCGGTGCCAACCCAGTGCCTTGTTGACGATCTTCAACGTCGATATACTCCTGCGGCACGAGCAGCTTCCCTGACAGCCCGTGAAGCATACGGCGAGCACAATCCTCGCGAAGTGAGGAGTGGGGGGAGAATGCAACGGTCTCGGTCAGGGCAGTTGCTTTGACTTTCTTTCGTTCCTCTTCCGGGTCCTTCGCCGGAGCCTCAACAATACGCTTCCCAGCATCGCGGCTTTTGCATATCAGATCGCTTCTCGTTTGCACGGTCATCAATCCATCAGCCCCGCTCGCAAGCGTGGCCTGCCCCGCGTGCGTAAGGGACTTGCTTGAGGGAAGCAACGCCTTTAGCTTAGCAGAAGGACCGTCAGATGAATTGGGCTTCGTGGTAGCTTGAGAGCCCCCACCGCCCCCCCCCCCCCCCGCGCCGTCTTCAGAATGTTCAGCTTTGCTCGCCTCGCCATCATCGCCACGCTCCCAAGGTTCATGGCTGCAAAAAAGAGAACGGGTCAACATGGTAGAAGGCAAGAAGATAGCTTCGAAAAGTAAAGCAAGACACAACACTACTGACCATCTCCGAAGAGTTCATTCAGGATAGCCGTTATAGAATATGGCGCCCCCGGGCTTCACATTAAACGGAGACAGCTCGGCGATCTTTGATACATGGTCTTTTTGGGAATCCAACGTCTAAAGCTTTGCATCCCAATTCTCCTTTCAACCGTAGACGAAGCCTGTCCTCGGTTCTTTATCGCCTAAGTACCATTTGGTAGTAGGCTTGGTGTAGAAGAAATCCTTAAACCAGGGAGACTCAAGCTTTGGGGTCCCAGTTACAAAGCCATAGGCTTTGTCACGCCTCTCGAAAGACCACACGTTTGACATCCGCTGAAGCCCATACGTAAAGGGGAAGGCGGCAAAGGAAGGTTCAATGCCAAGGCGTTGACACATGAGTCTATAAGCACATGCATTAAAGATGATGGTAGGCGATAAACGCCCAAGAGTACAGTTTAGACACAAAAAGGTCTGAGTGATAAGAGGATCGAGGGGGAAGCGCAATCCAAGTTTCATCTGCTCGGTGTATATAGTGATCCATACCTTGGGACATGTTCCCGCTCTAGAAGTGGAAGACGGGGAGGCGTATTTCCATTCGGTCGGAAGCTTGTGATTCCAGAGGCGGGTAAGGACGGTGTTAGACTTAAGTTTGCTATACCTATCAGGCCCCCAGGTGAAAAGCGCGGATGGGAATTTCGCTCCTTCCCCACATGTGCTCGTGGAGGCACACGGAATATTCATCGTCTGTCACCGCTCTGTAATCGTAATCAGAGGTATCCTAAGAAAGCTCGATGGAAGGGGAATCGGGTCGCTCAGGCAAGTTATGCTCATCAATACTAAACCCCTCTTCTCTACTCACACTCGCCATAGACAGATCATCGAAAGTTGCCAGGTTATCTCCAACGGCGGAAGCGTCCCCCCTATTGGCTACATTTTCTATGCCTAAACCCAAAGCAACATCTATCAATTCAAATGACCCATCTCTAGTTCTACATAGCAGATATCGATCGTCGATCGACCAGGAACCACCGAAATCAGCATTTACCCCACTAAAATCCCAATCAAAATCGGACATACTAAACGGCGATAAGAGATCCAGATTTAGCATACCTTGAGCGGCAGTGGTAATAGGGTCCGAAACCGTCTCCGATGAGTCGAGGTTAATCGGAATAGTGGCGGGGGTAGCGGCAACGACGGCCGTGGCGGAAGTGCCGGTTGATGTTTTCTTGCGACCCGACGACCACCCAGAGCCGGTAGAAGGCAGCAAATGCGAAGAACCGTCTCCACCAGGCATTGTCAGGAAACGTCGGAATTCGTAGCTACCGCAACGAGCTATGATGAACAAGGGAGAAAGATCACGACGACGCCGACGTTCGCAAAGAAAACTAGACACGGAAGCAGAGTGGAAACAGTGAACTAACCTGTTTTGCTTCTTCAGAGGGATTTTTAAAAGAAGGAGGCACGGATTCCAGAAGAAAGCTCTCAAGTAACCCTAGGTAGGCTATATAGGTCGTAATTATTATGGTTTTTCAAACGTTTGACGACACGTCCTGTCTACAGCATATGGGAAAACGTGTTGTCTGGCACGTGGCAGCCTGCGAAGGATAAGACCATCCCGAGGCGGAACGCTACCAATTCGATGGCTGGGGGGAATGACCCACGTGCTGGGTCGTTGGTTTGGGAAGTGTCCCTTCCCCAGACTCAGAAGATCAGCCGCCCAAACCCGGAGGCTTTACCCGCCTGCGAGAAAATTGTTGGGCCATATGGGAACACATACCCAAACCAAAGCCCACAAGACAAGGGTCCGCCCAATAGCCAGAAATGCCCAATGACGAGAGGATCGGCCGGAAGCGGAGATGCCTCAGAAGTTGCGAGCGTAGGAGGTGTACGACTAATAAGACAACAGTCAATGCTAACCATGCCAGACTTACACTACATTAAATGCCGCCGGAGGCGGGGATATTGGAGCTGACGTTCAGTACACGCCAAACAAAACATTAAATGCTAATACAAACCATCACCAACTATAAATACCAACCAACCACTTCATTTAATGGTAACTAACCTACCCTCTCTCTATCTTCTTTCTCTTTCTAAATGCTAACTTGATCGTTGGAGAGTGTCCAAGGGCTCCCGCCCCCGAACCTTTTCTGCAGGAACAGTCTCCCCGCTCAAGGAAAAGTACGATCTCCTCAAAGTTCCCACAAATCCCGCCTGACACTTTCTAGGCTTAAACAATTGTCTAACAATTGTTTTCTCTCTTTTCAACGTTGTATTTTGTTTAATCCATAAAATTATATTGTTATTTATTGGGTAATGTCTATTTTTTATCAAAACCTTTTTAAGATTCTTTTATATTATCCAAACCTATCGAAATACCAAGAATTAGCAAAATGTTAACTTTCAGTTAGCTATTTTGTTAGTAATAATGACTTGGCAACATGATACTGACTTGGAGGAGACACATGAAAGTCAACATTACAAAATTTTAGTATTTTAATAAGAAAAGAGTTACAAAATTATTAATGATAACGTAAAAATGACTAATTTTTTATGCAATACGAAAGATTTGGCTAATTAATAGCATTTTAATAGGTTTGGATAATATAAAAGAATTTGAAAAAGATTTGAATAAAAACTAGACATTACCCTTATTTATTTATGTGTTTGTTTAAATTTTCAATAAAGTGTAACTTATTATTATGTTGAGTAAAAATGAGTAGAAAATTTACTTGATAAAGTTTAATAAGGTATTTTGATTTGAACAATTGCAATATGTATCACGCTACAAACATAGATATAATAAAAAAATAAAAACAAAAATGAATTATTGAATAAAAGAAAACAATATTAAAAGAAGAGAGAGATAACACCATAAATAGATCATTAACTAACTTTTTTGTTTGTAAAAAAAATTGTCCATCTTGGCAACTTGTGAATTCCCTAAGTACTTATGTGGCAAGAAGGTTTTTTGAACAACCATTCTAATAAGTAAGATAAGATAAAGTAAAGTAATATACTTTATTTTTCAAAGGTAATTGAATGTCGAATGTTTATTTCTTTCTTTTCATATTTTTTTTAATTGATAAAAACATTGTTTTATGTGTATGTTTGTTTAATTTTTTTTTATCAAAATGTAAATTATCATCAATTTTAGTAAAAAAGAGTAGAAAATTTTCTTCATAAGGTTTAATCAAATATTTTTCATTTTAAAAATAATGTGGTATATGTCACTCTCTGTTTTCTTATTTATATTTTATTTACTGGACAAAAAATTTATTATTTATGTGTGTTTAGTTAAGTTTATCAACATGTAACTTATCATTAAAGCAAAGAAAAAGAATAAATGGATAAATAAAAAAGAATAATTGGATAAAATAAATGGAAATATTAAAGAAGGGAGAAGTAGCTCCATAAATACATTAATAACTAAATTTTTTGTTTGTAAAAAAGTTGTCCAACTTGTCAAATTGTGGATCCTCCAAGTCAGTGGCGGAACTAGAGTTTAACAGTACCCGTGTCCTCTTTTCATAATATAAATATTTAATAAATATAATTAAAACTAATAATATCTAAATAATTCATTGATAGATATTAATGAAATACTAGACTAAAAGAATCATTATTTTCATAAGCACTTACAACACATTTTCAAATTCTCAATGTATCCGACTAAGCAACTATTAGCAAATTGGTCGCAAGTCGACTTTGAAATTTATTTTTGATATAGCTCAAAGCTGAAAATATTCTTTTTACACTTGGAGTTGCAATGAGTAGAGTTAAAACTAACTACAGAAGACAGAGAGATCGATTGTTTGTATTGTGAATTTTGTTTATAGTGTGATAAATTAGTTTATGTTAGGTTTTAAACTTGAAATAACTTGTAGTGTTGTGATAATTTACTTTTATGTTACGTAAAGGTGATGAGTGCATTCCTTAATTGATATACATATATATATATATGGGTATTTTATTTTACCCAAAAGTTGTATGTGTCCCGGGACACATTCAATTGGCCTTGGCTCCGCCTATGCTCCAGCCTCCAAGTGCTTATGTGGCAAGAGATTGCTTTTGAATTGCCATAATATAGAGTATATATATATATATATATATATATATATATATATATATATATATATAGATATAGATATAGATATAGATATAGATATAGATAGATATAGATATAGATATAGAAAATATAAATATAGATATAGAAAATATAAATATAGATAGATAGATTATATGTGATCTATAAATTGATATTGTCGTCTTCGTAAGGTTTCAAGTTACTATGGTAAATCTGTGGTCTATGATTGTCTCTTTTTGCTATCATCGAGATCAAAACGATAGTAAAGTTAGTATCACGAACGGTGTACGTTGAAACTCTTGGAAGAAATTGCGGAATGCAAGATCTTCAAAGTCAAAGTTCAGGGTTTGCTTTGTTTCTATTATGTAATTGCTATCCAACTTAACTAGAAATACAAATCCAGATAACCACGTAACAGATGTCATTAGTTATTACAAACTAAACACTGTATAATTACAACTTCACTTAAACGACATACTTAAAACATGTTATATGATTCCATAAAAAAAAACATGTTATATGCTAGAAATGTATACGGATTGAAAGACTGCTGCGACTATGATTACTCCAGTCTGTTCGCATATATGCTAGTAATAATAAAAATACAAACCTATGTAAATCGTTTAATTTATTGATAACGAATGAGCTGAAACGATAATTCAGTTATTTGTTACGAGATCGGGCCATCGTAGCATTTCGTAGGAGACGAGACTTGCGTATGTTTAGTATTTTATTATTAGTACACTATTGGGATTTTATTATTATTGTCTTTATTATTGTTTTCCTTGTTCGTATAGGATTTGATTATTTGTTAGTACTATCCTTAGAGGTTTATGAGTCATAATCTAGATAGGTAAAGGTAGAGGCTTTGTGCCTATAAATATGTACTTGTATCGTTCGTTTAATAATAAGAAGATTGGAACCCAAACCTTTAGCTTTCGTTTGTTATTTTGTTATTTCCTTAGTTATTTCCTTTGAGAGTTCTTTGCGTTTTATTCCTTTTACGAGAAAACCCTAAAATCGCCATCCCCCTACGTCACATCACCGTAAAAGTTGGTATCAGAGCCCCGTTAATGAGATATGAGTATCTCTATTGGCGGGAGCAGCTGGGCCAGGTAATCTGGCAACTCCGGCAACCCGCTAGGACGAGATTTACCCTCGACGGTTTCGATCCAGTCCATCGTGCGCTGCCCGAACCATGCTCGGACGTTCCGCCATGGCCCGAGAGAGATTCATTGGTCGATACTGAGATGTCTCTTCATGTGCCAACGGAGGGGCCAGCGATAGTTCCATCAACCACCACCACTACTAACCTGTCCGTCGCTGCCGACATGAATCCACCAAACGTAGAGCTAAACCAAGCTCCAATTCCACCTCCACGAAAGCCATCCATCACTACATCGGCCACCATCAAGCTCGAGCGGGAGCAACAGCTTTCCTTCGAGTCACCACCAGCTGCCATTACTTCATGCGAGAGTAAAACCCTAGCTCAACAGTCGCATACTTCACCATCGTCGTTGATCGTTACAACTGCAAAGAATGAAGCAGGGTAGCTATTGTTGTGGCCAATGGACGTCGGAAAAGGATTCAAGAAGGTGGAATCGATGGGCTTACCTCTTGGAAATTCCGAAGGAAGAAACGTCAAGCCACTGCCGATTCCACCATGAGAAAACTGAAAAGATGATTGCACCAGACACAACGATTTACGTGGTATCCTTGCTCGGTATGAGCAAGACTAATCCATGGAGCACCCACTCAAGGGGTTCTCTGCTATTCTGTTATTATGGTTCATATGATACCCAAAAACCAAAACCTACTGCCGCACAGAGGCAACAAACATATTTATACTAATCCCTTTACATTGAGCCGCTAGGGATTAAGCACAAACTACTAATTAGTCCCTAAATAAGTAAAACTGACTAATATGTACGTACACAACCCATGCAACACGTACGTAATCTATAAAACGCCCCCTCAAGCTGAGGCGTGAATATCGTGAAGGCCAAGCTTGGAACTCAGAAAGGAAAACTGATATGCTCCGAGCCCCTTTGTGAAGATGTCAGCAACTTGTTCTTGAGACTTAATCTTTTGTGAAGCGATCTCACCAGAAGTTACACGCTCACGCACAAAATGGCAATCCATCTCAACATGTTTTGTCCGTTCATGAAAGACCGGATTCGCAACCTTATGTAGAGCTTCCTGATTGTCACAATATAGAGGAGTCAACGAGGAGCTGGTAAATCCTAAGTCGCTAAGTAACCATCGAAGCCAAACCAATTCGCTGACAGTGCTCGCCATGGCTCTATACTCTATTTCAGCTGAGGAACGAGCAACGACGGACTGTTTCTTCGTACGCCAGGACATCGGACAATTGCCTAGGAGGATGAAGTACCCAGTAGTGTATCGACGAGTGCGGTTACATCCACCCCAGTCTGCATCGCAGTATGCAGTCAAGCTGAGTTCCCCAGACGTAGGAAAGCGCAAACCTTGGCCAGGAACACCTTTGAGATATCGTAACACTCTATAGGCCGCATCTTCATGCTCTTGGCGTGGTGAGTGAACAACTTGACTCAGGATGTTAACAGCATAAACAATGTCTGGGCGGGTGACAGTAAGATACTGCAGACGCCCAACTAGTCTCCGAAAACCGGACGGATCCTTGACTGCAAGACCCTCAATTCTAGTAAGATGATGGTTCTGTTCAATCGGAAAAGCACAAGGTTTGACAGCTAGGGCACCTGTATCTTTCAAGATATCAAGAGTATATTTTCTCTGAAATACCACTAAGCCAGCGCGAGAACGAGCAACTTCAATGCCCAAGAAATACTTCAGCACTCCCAAATCTTTAATGCTGAACTGTTTCTGCAGAAAATCCTTCACACGCTGGATGATGTTAAGATCATCACCACCAAGAATAATATCATCCACATGAATCAGTGCAAAGACATAGACTCCATTGCGCCGATAGGTGAACAAAGAATGATCAGCCTTAGACTGATGAAAACCAAATTGCTGTAGAGCCTGTGTGAACTTCATATACCAATTGCGCAAGGCCTGCTTCAAACCGTAAATGGATTTGCGAAGCCGACAAAGTAGGGTAATGAGTATCATAACCTGCCATGCGCACCGAGGGTTTACGCACTCGGTCACTGCGACGGGGTGGAACAGGAGGAGGTGTCGCCTATGAAGGAACTTCGCGAGTGGTGGAAAACACCGGAGGCGACGCAGATCGATCATCCAAAGGAGAAGAACGACCCGGTGAAGGGGAAAGGTCCTCGTCCACACGAGGAACACAAGCTGGTGTAGAAGGGGACTCGGCAGGGGAGTACTCATCAACTGGAAGAGGAGTGCTCTCAATCACCACCTCGGTAGGAGCCAGAGGAGGGTCGGGTGAAGGAGGAACGACAGTGGTCAAGTCCGCATTATTAGAGTCCACAGCAGACGGAGGCAGAGGCTGCGGCACAGGCGTGATGTCACTGTGGAAAGAATGAAATGGAAAAGTTGTTTCGTCGAAAACAACATCCCGAGAAGTGAACAACTTATGAGAAGATAACTCATACACCCGGTAGCCTTTCTGAGATACCGGATATCCAAGAAAAACAAAGGGACGACCACGCTCACTGAACTTGTCCAAGTGCTGTCGTGTATCCTTGGCATAAACCAGACATCCAAATGCACGCAAGTGAAAATAAGAAGGTCGATGACCAAAAAGACGTTCGTAGGGGTCTTATTATCAATAGAGCTATGGGGAAGACGATTGATCAAGTAACCCGCAGTAAGAACACACTCACCCCAAAATTGCTTGGGTAAATTCGCATGAAACCGTAACGCACGAGCAGTGTCCAAAATGTGACGATGCTTGCGTTCCACAACTCCATTTTGTTGTGGAGTGTCAACGCATGAAGTCTGAAGCTTGAACCCTTCATCAACATAAAAATCAACGAGATCATGGGATTGAAACTCACTCCCATTATCAGTCTGAATAATTTGAACAGAAGCACCAAACTGCCGTGAAACGTGCCGAACAAACAGCTTCAAGTAGCGGGCTGCTTCCGATTTAAACTTAAGTAAATAAATCCACACACCACGAGTGAAATCATCAACAATAGTAAGAAAATATTGAGCGCCGCTCAGCGAGGGAACTTTGTAGCCACCCCATATATCAATACGAATAGTCTCAAACGGCCTAGCACTTCGAACCGAGCTAGAAGGAAAAGCTAAACGGGACTGTTTTGCTCGCAGGCAAGAAGAGCAAAGGTTTTTATGAACCCTACGAGTACCGGAAAATAAATGCAACAAATCCAACTTCTCAGCTGACGGGTGACCCAAACGGGAATGCCAGAGATCCTCAGAAACCTGACCACGAATTGCATTAGCCATCTCTTGTCGAATCCCATCAAAAAGCTTCAAATAATCTAAACCATCAGTCTGTGTCGCCGTCCCAATAATTATCTTCGAGCACAAGTCCTGTATAACACAGAAGTCGCGGACGAAGATCAAAGCGAGAGAAAAATCCCGAGTAAGCTGACTAACAGATAAGAGGTTGCATTTAAATTTCGGAACCAACAGTACTCGAGGTAAAACCATCCCATTAGCTAACCTAACTTCACCAATACTGCTCACAGCGACAGTCGAACCATCAGGAACCCGGACTCGTAAACCCGGTTCAGCCTGTAGCTCACGAATCATCTTTGGGTTGCTGACTATATGTTCATTGCAGCCTGTATATAAGCCAGTCACCATGGGGCATAGAAAAGGGAAAAGAAATCCCTGTAGCCTTGTCCGCGGGATGCGACTGATGCTTGAGATCACCACCAAAAAGGCTTTTGAGTTGATCGAACTGAGAAGCCGTCAAACCCGGGATAGGGCTGTCGCGCGCGTCAACCTGAGCTGCGCGAGGAGGAGCTTTGCGTCGATCGCTTCCTTTGGACCGACCGCCACGATCGCCGCGAGTGTCACCCTTCTCTGGATACCCGACCAGCTCGTAGCATTGGTCCTTAGTGTGACCGGGCTTTTTCTAATGGTCATAGAAAAACCGTGGCTTATCATTACCACGTCCAGAATCCGCAACGCGATCGGAAGACCCACGATGGGAGGATCGGTCCTCGTGTGTATGAAAAGCCGCTGCCTCAACCGTGGGCCGCCGAGCTTGAGCAATCTTCCTTTGTTGTTCATCATTGCTCACTAGCTGATACGCTTCGGCAAGGCTCGGCATAGGACGCATGGCTAGAATTTTAGTTTTAATGGTCGAGAAGGCGTCATCAAGGCCCATCAAGAAATCAAACAGCTGCTCGCTGTTCTTCGTGGCACGATACTTGCGCTTCACGTCACAGTTACATCCGCCGCAGCTTCAATCAGGGGTAGGCGGGATGGATTGAATTTCATCCCAGAAACCCCGGAGCTTAGTATAGAAACTCGATACACTGGCCTTCTCCTGCTGCAAAAGAGCTATCATACGACGCAGCTCGTAAAGACGAGAGGCGCTTCCTTGCCTGAACCGGGCTTCTAGATCAAGCCAGATTTCACGGGCAGTGTTGGCAAAACGGACACTAGAGCAAATTTCCTTGCTCATGGCCATCTTCAACCACCCTTTAACCATAGCATCACAGATTTTCCATTGCTCACGAAGACCTCCTTCAGTCGGCTGGGGAATAAACCCATCAACAAAGCCAATTTTATTCTTGGCGATAAAGGAATCAGTAATATCACCAACCCACTCACCGTAATTAGAGTCGGTGAGTAACTCTCCAACAAAAAGTTGGTTGGGGCTGTCGGAGTTGTTGAGAAGAAGCGCCGGAGGGAGATCCTTGCCGCTGCCCGACGCGAGAGTCTTCTTCTTCGACCCATCCGTGGCCGAGGATTGATCATCATCGGAGCTCATGATTGCAAAAACAATGCCGCGAGGATCAACTCACAACTCTGATACCATGAGAAAACTGAAAAGATGATTGCACCGGACACAACGATTTACGTGGTATCCTTGCTCGGTATGAGCAAGACTAATCCACGGAGCACCCACTCAAGGGGTTCTCTGCTATTCTGTTATTAGGGTTCATATGATACCCAAAAACCAAAACCTACTGCCGCACAGAGGCAACAAACATATTTATACTAATCCCTTTACATTGAGCCGCTAGGGATTAAGCACAAACTAATAATTAGTCCCTAAACAAGTAAAACTAACTAATAGGTACGTACACAACCCATGCAACACGTACGTACTCTATAACACACCACAGACTTAGATGCCGTCGAGTTGGAGACCACCGCTGCTCCTTTAGGAATCGCAACGCCGTTATCGCACTAGGTCGTTGAGTCCGTCCGTGATACGGTTAGAAGCAAGGTTAAGAAGGATAACGACTACAGGCATGGTGGTTTTGATCGGAACTTTGAACGTCCACCGCGGGTTGAGAATACTCTAAGGGATGCAACTATGATCGTCGTCGCGTCGAGAAGGAAGTATCTGGGGACAATAGTATGCTATTGGAGGAAGACGAGGAAGAAGCGACGAGTCCGCGCGCCCCCGCAAACTCATCGTACATCAATTGAGAGAGGGCAGGAAGGGATACGATCGAGAAAGAGAAAGTTGTGAAAGCCGGGGATACCTGATTTAATTCCCAGGCAATTCGAGTCGATCAGCATCGACAAACAGCCGCAGGGTATCTCGTGAAACATGCACGAATGGGAAGAAAGTCAAATATACGATTGGGAAAGAGGGCCCAAGCAGCCGATCAAGTGTTCGGGTGAGAATGGGGTGCTTCGAGATGACTTCAACCTTTGGCGGGTTATGGGGACCAAGTCCGCACATCTTGGGAGCGATGATTGTGTTTGTACCGTATCTGCAGTATCCTTGATGAGAAGTTTAGCACCAGAATCACCCTGGAGAAGCTATGAAATCGACGTCGGGGACGGAGAACTACAAGTATCCACAGAAGGCCGATCGGGAAGCTCGAGTCGACCGGATGAATCGATGGCATCCCTCAGTGATGCTATGGTCGACTCTTTGGGGGAGGAGGATTGCGCACGTGGGACGACGTATCGAACGGAGCTTAGGTCGAGGGACAAAACGACGAGGGTTCATATTGTACCCACGGCGTCCTCTTGGTCGCCATCGGCAGTGAAATCCTTAATCGAAGACTTCAGGGTGTTTGATAAACCACCGCAGTTCGCAAGTGGAGTATGGCTTTACATGAGTAAGTGGGTTGATTTGGAGAGGAAAGATAAGGAGTTACGTGGGGTTGGTGGAAGATTGCCTGAAAGGGATGATTCGGAGGAGGGTGCTTGGTCCATTTTTATGCATAGGAAGCGAGTGTGGTGTTGCATAATTGGACTTAAAGGGGACCTTGAGGTAATCAATGCGATAGCATTGGAGGTAAATGTCAAGGATCAAATTATATATATGGATGTAGAGAGGAGGGATGAAGAGTCTGGTAGCCATGGTCTCAATGATATGAGTTATGCCTTTGGAGTAGGTTCGAGAGAAGTTGAAGCGTACGGTGATGGAAGGATGAATGGAACGCTCAGCTGGAGGAATGGTAGTTATTGGAATTAGTACTCCATGAAATGTAGGCTAAATCTGGAATGGGATGATTATTGCTCAATGCATGGACCGCAACCGTGGGCCAACAAGTTGGGAAGTAGAAGCAAAGTGGGAGTCATTGGTTCGGCCGCGTTGGACGAGGAGTTGGCTTTCATTGGAGCTGGTAATGACGGAGGAATCGATTTGGTGCACAAGCTGAATTGGAAGTATCGAAAGCGCGAACTTTTTGGACAAGGTTCTTTTAAGGGGGGAGGGATGTTACGAGATCGGGCCATCATAGCATTTCGTAGGAGACGGGGCTTGCGTATCTTTAGTATTTTATTTTTAGTACACTATTGGGCTTTTATTATTATTGTCTTTATTATTTTTTACGTTGTTCGTATAGGATTTGGTTATTTGTTAGTACTATCCTTAGAGGTTTATGAGTCATAATCTAGATAGGTGAAGGTAGAGGCTTTGTGCCTATAAATATGTACTTATATCGTTCGTTTAATGATAAGAAGATTGGAACCCAAACCTTTAGCTTTCGTTTGTTATTTTGTTATTTCCTTTGAGAGTTCTTTGCGTTTTATTCCTTTTACGAGAAAATCCTATAAACGCCACCCCCTACGTCACATCACCGTAACATTATCACATTTGAGCAATACAATATAATACCAATAACTATACAAAACGATTATACCACCCACAACCAATAACTATACAAAACCTATGTAGTCCCATTTTTGGTGTTTGTAGAATGGGCCACGCGAGTTGGCAAATGAATCGATCAAACGAACAAGTCATCGTTTATAAAGCTGAAGATTGCTCCAATCGGCCGGTTAGCGGTTACATCGATATTTCTACGGCTTAGTTTGGTGACAAAAATATACAAGAAGTGTAAGTAAAAAAAAGATGAGCAAATTCTAAATGGCATACATGTTTTTGAACTCGTTATTAAGCAGTTCGGAATCCGACATATACGAAGCCGAAAACGATAGAGACCGACTGTTCATAGAATTTCGGCGAATGCTTCTCAGATTGGACAGCTCAATCCGGTGCTTAATCACCCAATAGCACATCGTGCCGAGTGTTGTCGCCATTATCACCGTCCCAATGATCGCCACGGTAACCGCTAGCCACATCTCGCTCTCGCCGACCACCACGAACGACAGCGCAAGGAACGCCACCGAGATCAGGACGCAGGCGATCCACATCAGCTTGTTGATCACCGCCATCATCCGCTTCTTCGCCTTGCTCTCGATCACCACCACGGACGTCTGCACCACCACCACCGCCAGCGATATGAACAGCGCGACAGAGTCGAAGAGGAAGAACACCATGAAGGGTGCCTGCATGTTGTTCGAGAAATCAGAATTCGGTGGAAACTGTATATAGCTCTAATAATAATACGGAAATTACTTCGTACTGCCTATACTTTAATACCCGATGTGCAATGTTGGCCTCGCCCGGGGTCTGGCCGGGGAGCATCTGGGTCGGGTCACTGGCGTACTGGCCTGGGACGGTGAAGATCGCGGCGAAGGCCACAGTGGCGATCAGGACCGCGACGACGGTGGTGGAGTTGATGGCGTTGTTGAGGCCCTCGGCGTGCATTTTGTTCAGTCGCTTCGCGATCCCCTGAACCCGCTTTCGGGTTTGTCGGGTGTGCTCGAGCTGGTAGTGAACCTCGTGCTTGATTTCGCTCACCGTCTGTTTCAGTTCTCGGGCCGGGTTTCGGTTCTGCGGATTGAGGTTTTTTGCGCTCTCAACGCCGTGTTCTTCGAGTATGGCTTTCACCTCGTCTTGACCCATCTTCTCCGCCGTGTCGAGCGCCGTCTCCGCCATTCTGTTCACCGCTTTCGTGTCCAATTCATTGTGTTGGAGCAACAATTTCACTATCTGTAGGTGAAAAATGAATTCAGGAACTGAAATCAGAATTTCGCAAAGAGTACCAAATGAGTTTTTTTATTTTTATTTTTATTTTACCGGTGCTCTGCCTTTTCGGCTAGCGATATGCAAAGGAGTGTTGCCTTTGTTGTCGAGCAAGTTCAAAATCTCAGGTGAAGCCTTGATCAGCTCCTCCACGACGGCAACGTTCTGGCCTTTGACGGCCATGTGAAGCGCCGTCTGGCCCTTTCTGTCCGTCCTTGTTGCGATCGCTGGCTCCGCCGAAACCAGTGCCCTTACCACCGCGACGTGTCCGTTTCTGGCAGCGGAATGCAGGGCTGTCTTGCCGTTGCTCCTGGCAATGGTGGCTATGCTGCTCCCAGCTTCCAGAAGAAAGTTGACTATCTCGATGTGGCCTTGCATCGCCGCCGTGTGCAACGCCGTCGTGTTTGACAGATCTACTGTCATTGCTAGCTCTGGATGAGCCTCCATCAGCACCCTCAAAACATCTAGGGGGCATGAACAACATTGATTTGCATATTCCCTCCCTGCTGAAAACTAGACATAAAGAGAAATGAACAGCAATGACAATTTACCTATATCCGATTGCTTGGCGGCAATGTGGAAGGCGTCCAATCCATTCTTGGCCTTGATTCCAGCGTCGGCGACGTCGCAGTACTGGATCATCTCCCTGACCAGGTCAACGTACCCGTACTCGGCCGCCACGTAGAGGGGGGTCTCGCCGGACTGGTTCTGAACCACCAAAACCTCCCTCAATTCCTCCTCGTCGCTCCCGGATAGGATTTCCACTACGGCAGCCATGTTCCCGCTCCTTGCCGCGGAATGCAGCGAAGTGTCTCCTTTCTTCCCCGTCAGCTGCTTCGCAATCTTCTTCCTCCGCGCCGGCGTGTGCTGCATGGTCACAGCCGGCGAGCTCGTCGGAGTTTCATCCATACTGATAAAAAAGAAAAACCCTTTTGCTTTCTGGGTTTTGGGTTTACTCTGTTTCTATATAGATATAGATATCTTCTAGCAAACATTTACAAGCTCAGCCTTCCTGAGAAAACCCAGATCAAAGTCTGCATCTTTGATCATCTCCATTAGTAATTGTTCTGAGAAGACCAAAACCTTAGATTCCTGGAGCTTGATTCCGACTTCCCATTTCCGATTCTGAGCTCTGCCACATCCTAGATTATAGGCCTGCGCCATAAAAAAAATTGCAGAGGCTAAAGTTAGAAACAAGGGAAAAACAGAAATACAAAAAACAGACTTCCATGTTTTTATCTTCTTCTTTTCTATTGGATTATTACCTCCATGAAGAACAAAGGAAGCCATGAATAAACTCAGGCAGGAAGGAAGGAAGGAAAGCAAAATCTCAGAAGAATCTGATTAGCATCGGGGTTTCGGGCCAAATTGAGAAACAGAGGCCATAAAATGAAAACGGAACCTTTTTGGGTCCGTTTTCCCTCCCTTGTTTTAATTGGAGGAGAAGAAACGAAAAGATGGAAAAACAAAACAATAATGGGGATCCCAACAAAAAAAAAAAAAAAAAGCTCTTTCTTTTTTCTTTTATAATTGGGAAACATGTTAATAAGATTGGACGGAATTTGCAGGGAGGAGGAGAAAAGAAAAAGAGTGCACATGCATGCAACAAAGTAACAAACCAACACAAACATACTCAAAACTTTTCTATTGTTGTGAGTATCTGATAAATAAATTAAAATTAGTCCATTGGACAATAGGAAAAAAAATAGCTATTTGCCGCCCGTAGTTTTACTATTTGTCGCCTATAGTTACAAAAAATGACGAATTTGTCCCTGCTCTAATTTAAAACCCTAAACCTATCTACCCCAAATCAAATCCAACCCAACCCAACCCCTCACCTCTATCCAAAAACCTCCAACCGCCGCTGCTCCCTCCGGCCGGCGAGCCTCGACCTCCGTCACCAGCCTCGACCTCCGCCAGCCACAACCGCCGCCAGCCACCTTGCAACCTCCGCCGCCAGCCACAGACCACAGCCGTTGCCGACCTCCCGAGATCCAATCCACTCGAGCTCCCTCTCGCCGCTGTAGCAGTCGTCGCCGCCGTCGAAAGGTATTTTTTTATTTTTTTTCTCCGTCTCCTTGTCGGCGTTGGACCTGGCCCGATACTTGGATGCCGTCCACCTCGACTTGTCGGACTAGGTCTTGACTGGTTCGGTTTAATTAAGAAAATATTTATTATATTTATTTTAAATTCAATTGTTAGTATATTAATTAGTATATAATTGTAAGTTGAATAATTAGTATATAATTGTTAGTTGAATAATAAGTATATAATTGTTAATTATATAATGTTTTAGTTAAATAATTATCTATCATATTGAATTAAATAAAGTCTAAATAATTTTTAGTTAATTAATGTAGTTAAAATAATTATCTATCCTATTTTAGTTAAGTAATTGAGTAAGTTGAAATAATTAGTTAAATAACTATCTATCGTATTTAGTAAGATAACTATCTAGCTAAATTATTTGGTTAATAAGTTGTAAGTATCATAATTAGTCTATGATAAAAAAAATTGTGAACAAATTGCTCAAAAATTAATTTATTATAAGAGATTAATATATAATTATTTACTATGTTTAGAGATGGCGTCAACCGATGATGTTGGAGGATTAGGAAAGAAATTGAGTAGATTCTTTGTGCGTAACATTAGTATGAGTACTTCCCTAAAAAAAACATTAGTATGAGTACGAGAAATAAGAAGTCAAAGCGTGGATATAGGTCGGGGGAGCAGTTAGAGCCTGAGCATGAGCCACAACAACATCAACTATAGCACCCGATGAGATTGAGGGCATATGGCTTTCCTGAGTTTGATTTTCAGTTGCCTAGTATGGTTGGTAGTGGAGATCGTTCCAGTCACACCTTTGGGACGAGGGATCAACACAGTTCACCGTCGGAGCCTTCAGACGAGATTGACGACGAGTCTGAGCAGTATGATTCGGATGTTGTTGAGGATCGCATTCCACGAGATGGTCCGATCAGAGATAGAGGTGCCGCCAGCGGATCATCAAACGCCGTTACTTGGATTTATAGAGACCATGCGGACCGTTTCTACAGAGCTCCACAGCCCGGTGAGGGTCAGAGTGGTAATGCTGATGTGGGAGCGGGGTGGAAGCTTAGAGGATCGTGCACTGGAGGGCCGAGCGACCCGAGTTTGCTCCATAGCTTTCTTGGGCATGTTCCCACCGTCTTTACATAGGACAGGCTGGTAGAGGGGTGATCACTTGCTACAATATGAGTTTGACACTTCAGCACGTTCTACAGAGTTACGAGATCGCAGATTCTCGCGCTAGGGGTACCTTAGTGTCATCGGGCCTTGCTCACCTCGCATATATCACCTTTCAAAGCAAGTTGGACATTGCTCTCATATCGGCATTTGTGGAGCGGTGGCAGCCGGATACCAACACCTTCCACATGTTGTTTGGAGAGATGACGATCCTTTTTCACGACGTGGTGCACATTCTTGGAATTTCAGTTGAGGGAGAGGCGATGGCAGAGAATCCGAGGCAGTTGAAGAAGATGTCACTGGAGGATGACATGCAAGCACTATTGGGCGTGGATCGTGCGGATTTGGGCCAGGGACCGCATATTGGCAGCTTTGGCTCATTTGCAGGAGTTTGGTTTGCCAGCTAGAGAGGCTTAGTGTTAACTTCTTATGCTTCTGGGGTCCACACTGTTCGCAGATAAGAGTAAGTACCGCGTTTCTTCTGTTATCAACTTGTTTGTGACGAGGCCGGAGATGCTGAGAGAGTACGCGTTGGGGGCTGGAGCACTTGCTTATCTGTACAGGAATCTTGGTATTGCCTCGCGGGTGGAGGCCAAGGAAGTGGCGGGTTGTCTGACTTTACTATAGTGTTGGATTTACGACCACTTTCCTATCTTGAGGCCTAGTCGGTTGGAGCCACGAAAGCTGGAGCAGGGGGAGGCAGGGGCACTCAAGTGGCACGGTATCTCACCTCAGTCGACAAATAAGAAGGATACACTCATGCTGGCTTATTATCATCATACGATTGATAGTTGGACCCCACAATAGGTTGTTTGGACTACTTATGGTCTGAGGCCTCATATGAGGTAGACGTACCTTGTATCAGGGCATCATCAGATTTGCAGAAATAGTAGAGCCATATGATCGCACTAGATGCCTCCGACTGTTAGGCTACATGCAGGGTATACCGTATCAGCCAGAGCGTTCACTTGTTGTGAGTCGACCCGCTTCCACGATTGGATACTCTCTTAGCTACCAGTCTGTTTATGATTCGTGGTGGAACAAACTGGGGGCACATAGTGATATGATCCCAAATTGACCCTCAATCAAGCTGGAATTGATTGATCAAGAAGGTAAGCAAAGTACATCAAAGAACACTGAATTTTGGCTAAGTTCTTTTATAGTTTAAGGTAACCAACTTTGCTCGTCGGGAACTTGTTATTGGCTTAATGAAAATTCGAGTTTAAGGCCTTATTTTGAAGGTGAAGAGTTTATCTTTCCATTGATGTACTTTGGAGCTTGAGAGGAAGCCCAGAAGAGTGATTTTCAGGTTGATCAAGTTGCTACCTCAAAACGGGAAAACTGCCAGGAAATTGTTAAGTATAAATATGTGTTCATGAAGCCTACGTTGGAACTCAATTCAAGGAGCATGAATCTGATTCGAGACCAAAGGCTTCTGCAACATGAAAATATGCATGTTTACCTACCAAGGGAAGGAATCAGATGAAAGATTGAAGTTCTGGAAGGCCTCGAACAAAAGCTCCAAAGATCATATCGAAGCCGAGTTTCTGTCTTTGGAAACCAGGCAATCCGAATCTTTATCGGATTAGGATTCCTTTGTTGTTTTGTGTTTAATTCCTTTTCATTGTTGGTTTTGATTTCCTTTTCCAATTGTAATTTGTTTAGGACTTCTCTAAGAGTAGTCAGATTGGCTAGGTCTATTTAAGTAGCTTTGATTCAATGTAATTTCAGATTTCATAGAGTTGAATAATGTTTCGGCCATGAAACAAGGGAGCTTCGGATATGTGAAAGGGCGGGGATGGCCCCCATTATCTACACTCCGACAATCAACATTAGATAGTGATAAGGAAATAGGGAGAGCTTAGGTAGAGAGAGATTGTAGAGAGATAAGTGATATGTAAAAATGAGGGAAGAGAATGAGAGAGCCTTACTTAGAAGACATAAGAGCATATTTATAGGTCAAACCTTGTCACACTTCATTGGGATTCGATTGGGTCTTTGTTATGTTTTGTGGGCTTGGGCCCATACACACTTGTAGATCACCATTGTTGTTCGAGTTTGGCTGTGTCATATTTACGCGTCCAACAATTGTCCCCCAGTACTCTGGCTAGTTGACTCGTGTCCCCCAACATTGTGCTGATCGAATAACTTACAACAAAAACTATGGAAAGACTGAGCAAAATAACATTATATGACTCATAGATGATTAGAGATATAACTCAAGTAGTGATAAAAATCACTTATTGCACTTCTCATGTCTACCAATATAATATTACGACATTTTAGACGCCTAACTGCAAATTTGTTTGTCTTACATATTTTATAAGCCTAAAAATTGTCCCCCAGTTAGGCATTCAGGAGTATACTGGATGCCTAACTGGAAGTCTTTAACATGTCTAATTTTCTAAGGGGTCGTTTGGAAGTTGCGATTGTTAAATAGATGTATTGTTGAGAATGCATGTATAATATTATACATGTATTGTCGAATTTGATGCATTGTAGAATACAACGTTTGGTATGTGTGATTGTGTATGTCGCATCAGCTAAAAGCTGAGACAAAACAATCTCAACTCAACTAAAAGTTGAGATATAACAATCACTCAAAATGAGTGATAGTTTCTGTCACATCACAGAAACAATCCATGTATTGTTTCTGCTAAAAAAAACAAAAAAAAAATGATGCATTGTAAACAATACATGCATAATGACAATCTTAACAAAACTATCGCAACTTCCAAACGACCCCTAAGATTATGCTTCTGGCATGCGGCGCACGGGAGTCATCTTGTCCCCCGGTCATGTTAACTCATGTCCCCAAAATCATGTTAGTGGAACACGTCAAAACAAGCACTATGCATAGAATGCCCAATAAAACATGATGTGACTCATAACATGATTAAGAATTAACTCAAATAGTGGCAAAAATGTAGTGCCCTTCTTACCTCTAACAATCCTATGGCTTTTTAGTTGCTTAACTAGAGATTTATTTGCCTCAGAAATTAATTATTGCAGTTCTGGCATCTAACAAGGTTATGGCGTTTACGACACCTAATTGGAGATTTGTTTGCCTTGTAACAATCCTGAATATGCGTGCACATGTTATCCCCAATTGTCCCCTAGTTAGGCACCTAGTGGTGCACTGGGCGACTAACTAAAGTTACCGACTTGCCAAATTTGATATACGATCTTTTGGTATTTTTTTCCTCCAATTCCGCCTTAATTAAATAACGAAAATAATCATGCAAATATGAAATAGTGTACTAAAATTTGACTCATGCATTGGTTAGGAAGATAACTCAAATAGTGATAGGAAATACTTATCTCTTGATGTAACTTCCTCGTACGTGTATGTCGCCAAGATAATGCACACGGAATAAAGGCGCGTTCCCTCATATGTTATAAAATTGTAGTGCAGCCTATCGACAATGCATCATGATCTCCACAGGGCACTGAGCTTGAATCTCAATTCCAGCGCTTGTGTTTTGGTATGTGAACAAGACACATGGTCATATTTGAATCGTTGACGCCCGGGCTATTAATTGACTGGATGCCTGGGAGGGCTGGGACTTACCCTCCCCATCGTGAACTTCGGCCACCTCTAGGTGACTTAACGAGTGTGGTTCTCATCGTGGGTCTTGCGAGTTAGAGCTTTTGAGCTTGAGCTGCTTGGCGCCTTTTTTTGTTATACGCCTAGTTCGAGTCGTTGAGGGCATTCAATGTGTGATGGGCGACTCCTTGAGTACCATCTTCTTGTCCTGAAAGCAAAGCAAAAGAAACATAAACATGTTCTTTTTATTTTCCCCTTCCCATTTACTTTTCTGTCTATTACGCCACTTCACTCTCAATAGTTATAGGATGAAAGGTGGAATGATAAAAGGGCATGCGCCTCAATCTATCTACTCACGAACTAGATCACACTGCTCACATATATTAAGCGCCCTAGTATGCGTGTTCCCATAAATGATTGGAGTATCACTTATAGAACTCGCAAGCATAACATGCTCTATGCTTTCTATAATGAACGAAATACTTCA